CATATACACACATATACACATACACATACACACACATATACACATACACACACATACACACACACACACATATCAGCATCAGTGACTGGAGCCCATTATCTAGTATTGATCCGGTCCAAATCACTTGCCACAAGCTTGAAATAGTCTTGTTTAACAAAGGTGGAAGTTGAAGCTTAAAGACGAAAGCACAGACGTGGTGTTGGGCTGAATTTGCTGAGCACAAACTGACCATCTGTTGCCTCCTTAGTGGAAGTGAAGTAATGGCTTCTGAAGGATTGCAGTCTATTGTCCCTGGCTTTACAGACAATCTCAAATTACCTTATTTTCTCCTTGACTGCGTCCTTAAGTTCTTCCCTTCTTTTCTTCCAGGGCTTCTCTCTGCTCCAGAGGTCCAAGTCCTGCTGCCAGACGGACATTGAGAAGCTGCTGGACGGAGAGGACGGCTCTAACGAGCTAATAGGAGATTTCACCAAGGTAAGGAGGGCGGCTGTGTTTCTTACACTGATCACTTAATTGTGTTGAATTGCTCTTCTGATCGATTTCCTTTTTTTTCCTCCCCTCTTTAGCCTTTTGTACTCCCCACAGTGGATGGCAAACATCAAGACCTCAAGTACATTACCTCAGAGACGGTGAGTAGAGGCACTACTGTTTGTTTTTCTTTGTGTGTCAAAGTGGGGCGAACAATACATTTTCTGTGCTAGAATAACAAATCGCCCTTTTTCAACTTGTTAATAATGCTGTTCTGCGTCATCCTCAGATGGTGGCAGCTGTCTCCAACCAGTTTAATCATCTAGTCGAGCAAGTCATTGTCATCGACTGCCGCTACCCCTACGAATTTGAGGGAGGACACATCAAGGTGAGCGAATGTCCAGAAATTTAGTTTTTTGAGCAGAAAGAAAATCCACTTTGGGAATCATTTCCTTCAGAAATATGTTGAGGTGTGGATTGAAACTAGCTTTAAGATATTTTTAGACACTGCAAGTCTGTGAGAACTATAAATACATTAGTTTGGTGGCATTTCTCCTAGTTCATGTACTGTCATTTAATCTATGTCTGGCATTTCTGCTCGGATGCTTCTCGGTCGGTTCCTGTATCTTATGAATTAAGCGTTTGGGTTTGTCTTCGGCCTCTCAGGGAGCCCTGAACTTGCACCAGGAGGACCAGGTGGAGGACTTCCTCCTCAAAACGCCCATCATCCCATCCTGCCAGGACAAACGCGTCGTCATAATCTTCCACTGCGAGTTCTCGTCGGAGCGCGGCCCCCGCATGTGCCGGTTCGTCAGGGAGAGAGACCGCGCCATGAACGAGTATCCCAAACTCCACTACCCCGAGCTCTACATCCTCAAGGGCGGATACAAAGACTTCTTCCCCCATTTCCAGGTCAGTTTAGCTTTTGATTCCTCTTCAACTGATACTTTGTCTGCCAGTCGAACTTGAACAAAAGCTGTTAATCTCACCACGGTCCAATTGGTACCCGTTAGGGAGATTTTGACTGTCACTGAAGTGGTTTTGTTGGGATCCGCAGTTATTTGCAGTAAAATTACGAAGACTTTGAAGTGGTTTGGTAAATTGGTGTCTATCTGTAGATCATTTAGTTGTTCATTAACCCTTCCAGAGTGCCTTTTATGCACTAAATATAATGTGCAACAGCTAATTCTAAGGAATGGTACTGGAAACCACTCGACATTATCTGAAATACTGGTTTTAGCTTTTTTTACAGAAAGCTTTTTTTTACATTAACCAATCGTGGTAAATTGGGGTGTTTGCTGTCAGATTGCCAGCAAACTAACGCAGTTTGAAGTTGGTCAGATGGTCAGTCTACCATTTGTATTGTTGAAGGACACATTTTGTACTGAGAATCCCGAAGTAATTCTGTTATGATAATGTGTGATTGGCAGATAAGCCTTTGTGCATTTGGGTTTCATTTTTTGAGACTGCACAAAAGGAGTTCATGTCAGGGATTCCCATATAAAACAGCACATTATGAAAGATAATGCACTTTGCTAAGTGTGCATTATTTTCTAATATTTGTGTAGATTAGTGCACTCTTATTGCACCAACAATCACATGTTTATGGTGGTGTTTAATGAAGTGCACTTTCTAGCCAATTGGAGTTTTCTCCATAATAATTGGATTTCTAAAGCTTATTTACTCAAATTACACAACTAAATATTTACTCGAGCTTTTGTCACATTGCTACATTATGTAACAAAATAAGCTTATCAGGGTCCCTTTACAAGCTTCTTTTATGTATGTCTTCATGGTCTTGTAAGATCAGCAAAAGTTTGAGCTTGGAGTTGAGAGGACTTTGTCATATGCATAGCCACCTTTTTATAATCTACCACTTTAGTTAGCAATTGTCCACTGTAGTAATGATTAAATAAAACCCTCTGTGGCTCTTCAGTACTTTGAACTCCTCGTTCTCTTCTTGCACAGTCCCAATGTGAACCTGAGTCCTACCGGCCCATGCACCACGAGGACTTCAAGGAGGACCTGAGGAAGTTCCGCCTCAAGAGTCGCACCTGGGCCGGGGAGCGCAGCAAGAGAGACATGTACAGCCGACTCAAGAAGCTGTGAGCGCCTCCTCGTCCTCCTAAACTGCCTCCAAAACACACTGCCTCCCCCCCCCTGAACAGACGGAGCACAAACTCCTCTCAGCCTGAGGCCTCACCCCACCAAACGAGGAAATACCTTTTTGGGATCGTGCCAACAGAAGGGGATTTTTATATAAAGTCTCAAATGTTCATTTAACTATAGCAAAGTTAGTTATTTATGCAAATTTAAAAGAGGGAAAGACGTGACACAATGAACGCTTGACCTAAAGAAGTCGCTGAGGTGCGGTGGGCAGATTTCTTTAAGGTGATCTGAAGCAATGTGATCGTTTTTAAAAACCACTCGGACCTACTGCCTGTTTTACCTTATTGTTTTTTACTATCCTGGCGTTTGCAGCACAAATCACTGCCAGATTGCAATAACACAACCAAACCACACTGCCAAGTCTGAAGTCTGCCTCCTCCCTGGATATTTGTTTTTTATTTTGCATTTGTCATGTCCCACCTTATTTAAGCACTTAATTTAAATACCTTGAAATGGTGAGGTGCTTTTTTTGTTGTTTTTGATACTGGTTTTATTTTTTATTGAATTGTCTACCCCATTTACACATTGAACACATTTTGTGGAAAGTATGCCTTTCTCTAGGCGTCCCAAACTGCTAATTGGACATTTTAATGACAACTTGTATAAGATTATTGCAGAGCTTTTCTTTTCTTCTACCTTTGATCAGTTGCAATACTTGGTAACTTTTTTTTTCTCGGCCAGAAGATGCCAAAGCAAACCAACTACCTGTTAACTTTGCAGTGAGATTTTTTTCTATTGCTGCAGGTCAGCGAGTGTGAGGATTTTTGATCTAAGAAAAACATTCTTTGTTTTGCTTTGATTCCTTTTTAATTTTGAGAGAGAAACTGTCTTCCCCTCTGCAGATCTAATGATGTTTATAATGAATTGGGGTGATTTGAATATTTTGGTACAGGCTCGTGGGGGAGCCGCTGAAATAAAGAGCCAATGTGTGTTCAATTGTGATGTACAAGTATCTTTATTTTCCTTTTTAAATTGTCTGACTTTAGATTTTGTGCTGTTGGTAGGATCTGGGGCAATAAATGGGAGTTATTTGAGTCACTTTGCAGACTAAAACCAGGGATGTGTTTTGAAATTACTCCTATTTGCTATATAGTGCACTACAGTTACTTTAAGTCTTTTTTTTTTTTAAGTGTCTGTATTTTTAGTACAAAACTTCATTCCCCTCAAAAATTCCCACAATGAAACCGAATGTGTCCATAGGTTCCAGACTATATGCTAAAATACTGTAATGCAATTTAACATTTCTGTATGTATACATTAAGATTATACAACACTACACCTGTCAGTGATGGCACCAGATTATTCATAAATGACTGAAATCACTTATGAGTGTTTTATTATGTTGGGAATATTGAATAAGGCAAGTGATTGTGGACACAGCCCCCAAAGGAGACCTTTTTACTGATTTGATAATTGATTATTAAGCTAAAATGTCAGTCTCTTGCTACAGCTTCTCCACTGGGAGGATTTACAGTTATTTATTTATTTATTTTTTCCTCCCCCTGTGTTATGATTGTAAAAGCAGAAGCTTTTGGTCTGTTGGTGGAACAAAACGAGCAGTATAAACCTTTTGAAATAGCAATTTTGTCAGCTTGAACACAGGTAATGAGCCTTTTTCAATATTTTCTAATGTTTTGTAGTTGAAGAAAGAATTAACAGTCAAATGATGATGAAAATAATCGTTTGTTGCAGCTCAACTATACATATCAGTCCATGTTCCAGATTTAAGGCACTTCTAGTTCAGATCCAGAGTTGTTGCAGGGTTCAGTCAAAGCAAACTGGACTTTCCACATTTGAACGCTAAGAATAGCACGTGTGCCGTTTTGTTTGGTCTATCCTGCATGCGGCGGGGACACAGGTTTTCCTACACACAGAGCAGTTCCTGTTTTTTCAAATTCTCCCTCTCTGGCCGACTCTGGGAGTGGCCTCTGCTGCAGCACGTGCCTTGACATACATACACACACACACATTCCTGTATGCAGAGGGAGTGGCGTTGTGGGGGCAGCTCCTGGCAGCCAGCTGACGTGTCTGGACAGGGAGGTTAACAGTCCTGTTGCACGAGGGGGAAAAATCAGAGCCACCACGTGCTGTAAACACGTGACCGATCTGATGGAGAGGTTATAGAAGCGCAACTCCCACCCTTCTGGCACTGTACCAAAGTTTGAAATCAGGCAGTTTCTCCGCGGACGTGTGTATGGGAATGAGAGGGCAGGCCTTTGTTTGCATTCCTCCGATTGAGTTCTAAAGACTAATTTACAGCCAACAGTTTCTAGCTGACACAAGTGTCTGTTGGTTGTCTTGTGCAACTCCAGCTCAACTGAAGAGGCATTAATTCTTCCCTGAACCCTGGGACGATGGTAAAGATTTAATGTAAATGAGGGGGAGGGAGGGGGGGGGGCAAAGGAAAGCAGAAAACTAAACTTTTGTTTCAGTGATCTTTACAAGTATTTGTCAATTAAGTGTATTCCATTCATATGAAGCTGCCACCTTTGTCTGAGCAAGGCGATTAATTGGCCAGTTGCTGAGGTCTAAGGGGCCTTGCACCTTTACATGAGGCATACATAATGCAACACTTTCGAGAGGCTTTCAAGACGAGCTTCATTTTCCACTTCAACAGTTGGTTTTAAAATGTAGATGAGACCTTGGCAGGTCTCCCTAATGAAAAAAAGAAAAGCCAGATTTTACAACTGGACCCGTCCAATTAGGAGCAGCACATTCAGCAAAGCAAAGGGAGAGCTTTAAAATTTAGCAAAACTTGGAACTTTTTTTTTAATTCGCCTAACAATGTGTGCTCTGTTTTAAATCTAAAATCATTACATGTAAAATCAAAGCTACAGATGGTTTTCTATTGCAGTGTAATGAGACCATTCAGGCAGATTGTTTTGTCTGTTAATTTCTTGTTCCACTCCTAATAGTGAATGGTCTTTTTTTTGTTCTCTTAAAAGTTTCAAGTTAAAAAACAGTTTTCTGTGACGATTAAAACGAGAAGATTGAACTTGATTGAACTTTTATGTTTATTTGCTTATTCTAAAGCTATAGCCAGCTGCTTTTTATTGCAGCTTATCTTAAAGACTGTAAACACTGGCTTTTTGGACACTTTTGGTTTTGGACAGATTAAACTGACAAGATATGTGTTAGAGGTGCTGATAGGCAGATTGAGTAAGTTTTGTACAGAGCCAGTTTAACTGTTTCCCCAGCTTCCAGTCTGTATGCTAAGCTAAACTCAAAAGTTTATTATGGTATAAATACGAGAATGGAATCTATGTTTTTATCTAACTCTCGCCAAGAAAGTAGATGAGCACATTTGGTGAAATGTTGAGCCATTCCTTCAATTTAGGTTTTGACTTTGGCTTTTTACCTTCCCTGTTCCTCATGGCCTTTTTCTTTTACACTGACAACAGAAACCACAATATAACTGGAGGAAACATGGAAAAATGAAACACTATGTTTATTTTTCAACGTTTTTCTGTGAACTGTGGATATAATGTGAAAGATGTGACCTCCACGTCTGTAGTGCTTTCAAATGGACACAGTTAGCGACTAGCTTGTGAACTCCTTGGAGCAGCTGAAGATATTTAGATAAGTTGAAGACTAGCCAGGTATTTCTGTCTTTATTGGAGACCAAAACAGAGTTAAAAGGAGAGAGATTGGATTCATTAGTTGGCCAGAAATCTCTAATATTACTACTGCTCAGTATCTGCTGAATGTGTTTGCTAGTAGGTTAGCAGCTTTAAAAGGTGATAATCAGTGTTGTGTTTATTGCTTGCTGCGCTGCACCCAGCTGACCAGAAATAATCTATTACTGCTGCTTTCATAGTGTATAATAGGGTCTATAAATATTAAAAAAAACGAGGGATGCACGTTAACTATTGGGTCAAACGACTGACAGTCTTTATGTTTTATGAAAATATGTTTGTGAACATCTTAGTCTTCCTTGCCATTAGTGTGTAAAAACTACAGGTTATGAACTCAACAAAGTGTGAAATTATTGGTTATTTTATCGGTATCAGCTGAAGAAAAGTCCGTATCGTGCATTCCTAAAAATCCCTCACTGCCGACAAGGTCAGCAGATAAACTACAAATGCATCCGTCTGCCTGCCTGTCAGTCATTACAGTAACAACAGTTTTCAGGCTCCTCACCAGCACCCTGCTGAGTTGCCCCTAAACTACTCCACCCTTCCTATCACCATCTCTCCTTTGTGAATCCACCTCTTTACCACAGCTTGCCCTGTTTGATACCCCACCCCGGGGTCCTGCGGGCTGCTGCAGGGCCGATCAAAGGTGCCCTCACACAAAGCTTCAGTCTGGGTGTCACCTTTAAAACCCCTGTTTGCTCTGACCCGTTGACATTGACAGTAAACTGACAAATCAGGCCGTAAAACAAAGTCCTAACAACCTGGAAAGGGTGTTGAAACATAGCATAACACTGTGGTTTCAAAGGGAAGGGTGGGGGTTTGTGATTTTGTGAGGTGAACTTCCTTTTTGAATGTCATTGAGGATTAGAAACTTGCACCGAGTTTTCAGTAAAGATGTTCAAACCTTTCTGCATACTTCTGCTTTCTGTGTATTCACCATTAGTTGAGCATGTTTTCATTCCCCCTTGCTGAGAATGCAGAATTGACAGAAAAGATATTTTAGCGTAGGATGTTATCTTTAGCTTCCTTTATTTCAAACACGCACGCCTCGCTGTTATTGGTCCGTGTAAGTGGCTGATACATCCTGTTGTTCTTATTCGGCTGGTTTCATCAGCGGGAACTGTGACTCATATTTCAAAAGCACTGAAACTTGCTCAGACTTTTGTTGTGGTATTCATCAGACAAGTGGCAGCACATTCTTCATGCTCACTGCTTTGGTTTTAAAAATGTGTTTAAAATATGATCCTCTACATACAGTTGCTGCAGAGAATGTGGAAAAATCTGCAAATTTAAGTTTCACACTGACTGAAATCTGGCTTCACTTTCACATTGAATGTCCACACTGATTTTGGTTAATAGTTACCTGCAGTGATCCCGCTCATTCACTCCTTTCTTACTGAAGTGTAATACCTGCAAATCTGCCTGGGCTAATAATTACACACAGTGTGAAATACTTCTGGTCCACACCTTTTCAGATGAAATGCTTCATAAAACTGGGCTCAACATTAAGTGTTGGTGTCCTGATCAGAGTGTAAATCAAACCAGGACTTTAATCTAAAGTAGTCAATCCTGTCTTAAAGGAACAGTTTGACATTTTGGGTTTGATGAAAAGATTGATACCAGTCTCAGGTCTGTAAGGTAATTATGAAGCTACAGTCAGCAGCTGGTTAGCTTAGCGTAGCAAGAAGATTTGTAAAGCGTGGGAAACAGCCTGGCTCCTTTGGAAAGTGACCCAATCTGCCTTAAAGCCACATTGTGTAACATGTACACTTCGGTTTTTGTTTGGACTATCAACAAGACATAACATGAGAACTAGTGGGGTTTTGTTATCTGTGGAGAGAACCAGGCTAGCTGGTTCCCCTTGTTTCCAGTCTTT